GTGGCTGATGAGCGTATAGGCACAATATACCATTTTCGACGTGGCCTCCAAAACTACGATCTGATAAGTCTATGCCCAAGTGTTTTCAGAAAAGAGGATGAGTGAACGTACGTGAGCCATCCTCCTAGGCCCAGCGCAGATACATGCAAGCCCGAATTACCTAGGCGGCGGTACTGCATGCCCGTTTTACGAGGTTCTTCCCAAGCCATCTTGCGTGTGTCTGAATGAATCGGTGATGGATTCACAAGTTGATTTCTTATGAGTGCTGGAGCAAGGTGGTCCCTCAAGTACAAACCGCCATCTTCAGTCACAGGTCTTACCAAAGCCTTCAAGAGTTCTGCTGACTACGCTCAAAGCGGCGGGTTCTCCATGAAGGGCGATGCCGGCGATGTAGCCTGCCGCATCGGACAGAAACCCTGATTTGGGCAGTTGCAGCGAGTTGGGCGCTGTGCTGCCGCGGCCTTGGTATCCAGGGTTTCGGCATGACTCGCAACATCGTGGAGATTCCCGAGGTCGTCATTGATCCCCGCAATCACGACATGCAATGGTTCTGGGTAGTTGTGGGGCGCGGCAGGGAAAGTGGATCAGGCTAGAGACGTCTTCGTTGAACAAGGCGGCTCTCTGCAGCCGACGCAGAGACGCATACTCACCATACGCGCAGTCGACGCACGATCATCCGCAATGTTGCGTAGGAAAAATACAAAAAGTATAGTTCAAAGCGTATTGGAAGTATAAGTGACACAATCTCCGATAATATCTCTTTGAAAATGGTACTGGGTATCAAAGCTTTGGGATTGGGACTTGGAATGCGACCTCGGGTTGATCTCAATGACGGGTCGCACATAGTTCGGTGCAATTGAAAGGCAAGGAGGCATTGGTTGGTAGTCGGATACATTGAAAAGACCATGTGATGCTGCAAGGACCACAGTCTGCATGCGGCTATGCATGTTGACATTGACTGTCTGTGGATTTCACCGGCTATCGTTTCCCAACGAGATCAGAGTGTGAACCTGAAGTCTAACCGCTTGTTGCCATCTTTCTCTCGGGAGATGATGTCTGCTTGGTACAGAGCCTTCTCTTCCGAAGTCATCTGTTCCCACTGTATCTGTTTCCTTTTGTTGAGACGGACCAAAGTCTGCCGTTGCACAAGGAAAGTAATGACACTCAGTGCGCATATAGCCACAAGAACGGCGTTTCCCTGCTTGTAGTACGGGCCATCGTACTTGCGGTAGATCTGTGAACTGATCAGAGATCCAATCTGCACAATGACATTGTACGTTGCGGCCGTAATCGCACGTTTCTTAACGTCAAAAGTGTTCTCAGAAATCCAAGAGGAGACCAAGGGATGGAAATATGGGTACCCGGAGATCAGCGTGATTAGGGAAAAGCGGCCCCATTCACGGCCACCATCGGGCAGTGTCAGCAATGCGATGAGAAGCGGCATGATCCAGAACTCGCCAAATATGCAGTGAAAAGTACGTTCGTTGAAGTAGTCGCTTGAGTATGCCAACGCTAGCATGGTGACGACCTGGAGAGCCGCAGACGGAATTGTCAACATGTTGCTGTTGAAGGTGCTGAAGCCGAGGCGTTTAAGCGTGAGAGTGAGGTATCCTTGCACCGGCGAAGCAGGGATGTAAGCGACGAGGCCGATGAAGTATAGACCCCACATGGAGGAATCAGACCAGGCCGCGCGGATGTCGTTGAACGTTGCTGGCTCTTTGAGAGCAGTAAGGCCTTTGGCTGGGTCGTCTCGCAGTATACGGTTGACCATGATGACTTCTTCCCGCTCAGTGTACCAACCTTGGCGCCAAAGCACATTCTTGGTGGATGTCGGCGCGGTGGGCAAATACAAGTACGAGAGAATGGCGATGACGACCGTCAAAAGGCCTTCGAGGAGAAATAGCCAGAACCAACCTGGCTTTCCACCAACACCGCGCATCTCAAGAATACCCGCCGCAAGCAAGGCCGAGATGACACGTGCGATGTTAAGTGTCGACCAGAAGGCTGCCAGGCGTAGAGAAAGCTCCTTGGACTTGTAGAAATAGGTCGCAAACAAGATTACACCGGGGATGAAGCCACCTTCGCAAAGTCCGATGGCTGCGCGGCCCAGGTAAAAGGAAGTTCGGTCGTGCATCCACGCCTGGCCCCAAGATGCAGTTCCCCAGGCAAGCATCATGGTTGGGAGAATGTACTTGAAGCCATAGCGTTTGGTGAGACTGTAAAAGAACACGGTCAGAGAGAGACTTTAACAAGAAAATCGGTGGTACTCACAACTGCACTGGAAATTCAGCAGCCAGAAAGCATACCAACTGTATCGTTGTTCCGTTGTTGTAGTCGTCAGAAGTCAACCCGAGGTCTTCCAGAAGATTGTCTGCGAGCGCATTCGATATGTTTCCACGATCGAGCTGAAATAGTCAGTATTTCTGATCGGCTAGCACGATGTATGAACTTTCCTGCAGCCCGAACATCATGAGACAGAGCCATGTCAGTAGCCGGAGGTCTGTCTTCCGCACCACACGCCGTTCTTCCTCAATCGTCCAGCTCGCCTGGGGGTCGAAGCGATGCCGGCCTTCGTACGTCTCGTGGGGTGGGACGATATCCGCAAGTTCCTCTCTACCCACGTGGGCCGATGATTTGAGCGAATTGGCATCTTCACTGATCCGTGTTTTGTGCGGAGATGCTTCTATGTCGTTGCCCATTGTCAAGGGCTACGATTGTCGGCTACAGCACAATTGCCACGAAAGAAGGTTATTGCTGAGATGTGATAGACTGGACACTGCATATTCCCTGCTATGCTCTCTTGCCTCCTATTTATTACTTTGGACATGGCATGTCGTAATTCAAGCTCGTCCCGTCGCCATCGTCGCCATCCTACCGAGGTAGTAATTGCCCCGAAGAACGAGGGGAAAGCACAATGTTGTGCATGTTGATGCATCTCCTATTGGTCTTACTGTCGACATCCGCCTTGGCGTTCACGGGGTCATGTAGGCTAGGCGCGGCACGCCTAGACCCAGAGCGTACAATTAGTCCGATGACGTGCTTTACCACGCAGGCGGTGGTGTCACCCTGGTTCCGGGAATGATTATATGTCCTGGACTTCCAGACATTTGGAGCTGTTGGTCTGCAGGCTATCCAAGCGTTTTGTAACACTGAATTTGAGCCGGAAGTTGCACTAACCGCGCACCACATTGCCTTCAAGATGCCTTCAGTCAAGCGCAGTCGTATGGAAGACGTTCATGAAGACGGAGATGCAAATATCATTGGCGGTCACCCCAGCGCCCGATCGAGACTGTTGGAGCCCTTAGTCTATTCCGGATCCTTGGACAGCTTCAGACACCAAGACTTGACCCCCGTCATTGGAAGAGAGTTCGAAGGTCTCCAAGTGACTGACCTGCTTCGATGGGGCGATGCTATGATCAAAGATCTGGCAATAACGGGTAAGACTCTCTGTTTGCAGCTTGATGTAGCTCATGACTGACTCATAGTTCCAGTCTCACAACGTGGCGTTGTCTTTCTGCGGGATCAGGATGTTACGCCAACTCAGATGAAAGACTTGATGCTGCGGATCACCGAATTATCTGGCTGTGTATGTCCGATTGACTGCGATGGCGGTTCTACTCTAGCGATAAACTGACAACATATTAGCCTTCTTCCTCAAGTTTACACGTGCATCCTCTTACCGAAGAGGGATCTGAACTCGGTGACCAGATCTCTGTCATAAGTAGCGAAAAGCAAAAGAAAGGTGGCGGTCTCACTCACCAGCTCTCGGACGTATCTCGCCTTGCATCTGCGGGCTGGCATAGCGACATCACATTTGAGCCAGTCCCGTCGGACTATGCGATGTTGAAAATCCACACCTTACCCGCGACAGGCGGTGACACGCTCTGGGCTTCTGGTTACGAAATCTACGATCGTCTTTCTCCTGCTATGCGTTCGTTTTTGGAGGGCCTGACTGCGACGCATGATGCGAAGTTCTTCCTGGATGAGGCAGCGCGATTAGGAAATCCACTCCGGAAGGATGTGAGAGGCAATCCATTGAATCAAGGTGATGCTCTCACAGCCACACATCCGGTCATTCGCACGAACCGTAAGTTTGACGTTTCTCTTGCGCTGCCGTCGCTAACTTATCGTGCAGCTGTAACCGGCTGGAAATCAGTATACGTGAATAAAGGATTCACGAAACGCATCAATGGCGTCACGAAGGACGAATCCGATCTCATCTTACCGTACTTGTTCAACCTTGTGACGCAAAACCACGATGCGCAGGTACGGTTCAAGTGGCGGCCGAACGATCTGGCTATCTGGGACAATCGAAGTACGTGGCATTGCGCCACGTACGATTACGAAGAGGCCAGAGCGGGTGATCGTGTCTGCAGCTTGGGCGAAGCACCGTATCTGGATTTGGGGAGTCAGGGGAGAAGGGAGGCTTTGGGTCTGAGATAGAGATCGATCGCCGATAGGTAGAATTGAATGGTGGCTGGTACTTAGCGTTGCATTACATCACCAACTCGCATCATTCCATCGCTCGCGCGACTGTCGCGCTGCAAGCCAGATTTCTTAGGGTCAATGCCCCAAGTGCCTGTGCACTCGCGTGCTGAGATCCAAGCGTGCAATGGCTACGTCATAGTACAACAATTCGCAAATGGTCCACCACACGAGCATGATGTCAATTGTATAACGACATCGTAGCTTCACTTCTTCGGAGAATCGAGACATGTTGCATGATGGTTGGCTCGAGTCTTCAGCTTCAGCATTAAAGCAACCCGCAAAGTGAACATAGAAGTCTGCATTGTCCGTACTATATGTTGGACGTATATACCAGCTACAACAAAATCACCGCATCGACGGATATTGCAACCCACATGAACGCTATCAGATCTAGAACCCACCAATAAAACAACAAAGCACAAGTGTATCTACGAACACCGATGTACGCCACGCTATACCGAAGCCCCAAAGCGCCTTGAACACCCACAAAGTCGTGACTATAAGGATACTCATCATGTCCTCTTTTCCCTAAATTGGCCCGTCGGACCCGCACTGAAAGCGCCGCTGATAATGCGCTTGAGTTGCTTAGGTTTACTTTGTGGCACTCTCTCGCCACTCGCCGTGCTCTTGCGACTGAGTCCCGTGCCAGTCCTCGTAATGCCATCCATACTCATACTGACACCGAGATCCATAGCGTTGCTACCACGTCGTGCACGTCTCGTCGCATCTTCGTTCTCTTTCTGGTGTAGAGTTTCCGATGGAAGCAAGATGGCACGATCGAGAGCATATGGAAGACCACGATGTCTTCCACGGATCTGCATGGCGATGATGATGAGTTTGCTCAATGTCTTGAACTGGCCGGAGAAGGACGTGTTGAATCCGGGGAATCCCTGACTCAGTCCGACCGTACCGTACGCAGAGACAATCTCGAAAAGGACGGAGAACAGGCTGAACGCGTATTCGTTCGTATTCTCGAGCCGCACGCCTTCGATGATGGCGATGAGGAAGAAACCCAAGAAGACGAACCACAAGTCGAATGAGAGTTGGCGACGCAGATGATGCGAGAGGTAGCTAGATTGAGTGTCGTCTTCATCGTCTGCGGCCCAGACACCCAGTGACTTCTCCTCGTAGACATTCGACTGGCGGATAGACATGGCGATGGGGAAGATCGAAATGTACATCATGATGAGGTAGCTGACTTGGACCGCAGGGTGCAGATCGGCGATGTTGACAACGGCGAAACCTGCAGTACGCGTTGAGGCAGCTTGGAAGAGACCAGCGAGGAAGCGGTGACCACCGGATAGCGAGGTCACGGTCGGGTCGTTGAGATCGAGAATGATGAAGAAGATGAGATCGACACCATTCAGGACGACAAGGATCCAGAACAGCCACCAGTTTGCCTTGCTTGGGAATAGTAGAGTAAAGCACCGACGCGGGTGATCCAACAGGAAACGAAGCTCTTCCCAGATGGCGCTGCTCTTGGGTACCATCAGGGAGTACATCCAGATGGTGAACCGAAGCATACAAGGAAACCCGGTATTTCCGATGATGATCAGGAAGGTACCCAGCACAAGGGGCCACACAGCTAGCTGGAAAGAGACCATCGAGTCTGGAGTGAGAGTGAATCCCAGATCGTTGAACAGGGAGGCTGAAGTAAAAAAGCTCCACCAAGTTGGGTCAACGCCAAAATCTCTCACGACACCACTATAGTGAGCGTCGTTGTTGATCCATGGCGCCAAACATATAATGCCGATGGTGTGCCACCCGAGGTAGAATATGATGAGGATCATGGCGAGCAGCTTCAGAGCACGATATTCGATACCACCGAGCTCTTCTCTTTGTTCTTCAGTCAAATCAACAAAATTTGAGTTGCGTCCGAGGGTGGGCGTCCAGCTGAGATAGGGCATCGGGTCCTCCTCTTCGGTCTTGGCCCTGGTAAGGAAGCTGGTAAATGTTCTTGATCGTGACCTATTACGTAGATGCATGCTCGATGCAGGCACGTTTGCATCGCCCTCATTGGTCCTGGTTCTGTCATAGACGGAATGTCCGGTAGGGCGTTGCTGCCGGTCCGGTACGTCGATGGTGATGTGATTCCTGAAGGGGCGATCGTCTCCGTTCAGAGCATGGGGAACAGAATTTGAACGCTCTCGCTTGGGATGAGACTCATGCGATAGTCTACTCGCAACTCTGTCCAATTCTTCTTCTCCTTTAACAGCCTCTGGGATGAGCCCCTGGTCGAAGTCGCGTGGACCTGGTATACGAAGCTTGTTCCTCGCTGTCGGGTTTCGCTGCGCTTCTACGAAAGCGATGCTCTTCTCTTTGTTCGACTGTGGAAGGCGGCCGCCAGGGGATTCTTCAAGCGACTCCTTGGGCTTCTTTTCCTTAGGTGTGCTGAGATTGTCGGCCCATACAATGCCAGATGGAGCAGTTTGAACGGGAGTCGTCGGCCGGAACGGTGGCATTTCGTCTTCGCTGGAACTAGATCTTCTCGGGCGTATGCCATTGCCAGTCCAGTCCAGTCCGTCACTGAAGGCGTACTCGTTCGCGATTGTTCCACCGTGTGCGTGGCCACTGGATCCACGCATGACCCGAATCTCACGAGCGCCGACCGCTTGCTCTTCTTGTCCAACATTACGTTCTGTTGCTGCATTCATCTCACTCTTCCTCCTAGAAAGTGTGCGAGTCCGACCGCTCCGGTTCCCTCTCTCGAGCACGATGTTCTGGAAACGCTTTTCGAACCAATAGAGGCGAACGACTACGACGGAGCTGTGGATGAAGATGGGCGTACATAAGCTGGCGATAAAGTAGATGACTATCTGTTTATTGTTAGCAAAAGACTTGTAGATTTCAAACGCATCAAATACCTGTTGATATAGATCCAGTGTGTTTATGTCAATTCTGCGCTGGCAGTCAGTTCACTGCCCTCATACCTCAGGGACTAACATACGTGTTCAAGCCACTCTGTGTTGCTGCGCCGCTTGCAAAGAAGAGGGCATCGACATAGGGTATGCGACCACTGCCGTATATGATGACGGATCCGATGAGCGCCCACCCAATGATATACGAATCTGTAAACCTATCAGCCACAGTTCAGTCCCTCCCCTGTGATAGTGCGCATACAGTGAAGGGTGATAAAGTTGGCGTGTGGTTTGAGGGCCTTGAGACTGGACGGGAGGCGCTGCTTCAGCCATGCGAACATGACAAGCCATGGGCCGAACATGTTGCCACCAGTGGGCTTCCAAGGCGATGGGAAAGAGTGAATGGCACCCAGTGGGCGGGACTTGTCAGGTTGAAAGAGGTGAGATCAGCAGAGGCAGTGGGAAGGAAGAGCTGAAAGTTCGAGTCTAGTCGAGCGCGCCCCAAGCAGAGAGAACGTCAACGGACCGAGCCGGTAGCGCGTCGCAGAAAAGCTCCGTCGTAGTGGTGCATGTTTGAGGAAAGAAGAGGGCGAAGTGTTAGTTCGAGTGGGCGCTGTGAACTATGGGTCGCGTTGCGGGACGGTAGTCGAGTGGTGCGCTGTGAAAGATTGCCGGCTTGTCGCGCTGCCAGGTGCGGCGATGACGCTAAAGGGGCATCGAGGCCACGGAATGCCCAGCCCTGCTATTCGCAACCGGAGTTTTAACAGACCCCTGTAGTGCACATGGGAATCCAATCGAGAAGGCCTTCCTGCCACACCATAGCCATGGCACTACGCTGCAACCAGAGTTCACATGTGCAACGTGCTTTTTGATCTGCATGCACGTTGGACGTGTGCTTATTCTCCACTGCGATGCTTCCGCTCCGCCCCGCTATCCTTCCTTCCGCGTCGCGTGAGCAGTCCCAACTGAGGATTTGATAAACGGTGCCCCTCCACATCTCAATATATATGGTGGGTGTGGACATCGACTTTGCATGAAAGACTACGTTCGCCAGCGCATATCGCGATACGGGGTTCGTCCGCCGGCCGAGCTGATATCTCACCACCCCAACACAACAAGAAATGGCAACAGCGCCGACCACAGCCAAGGATACCGCGGCACCGGCGAGTATGCACTTTTGTTTCAGGACAAGATGCTTGCTTTGGCCTTGATAAGGTGCGCCTGATTACTTTACTGGGGCGAATGACAAGGGCTAGTTCACGTTTCGCCGGACTCACGGACTTTCGTTGTCCTCATTTCTTCTGCGATTGCTGCGCCACAGTTTGGTGTTCTGGCTAGTCATCTGGGTGCGTCGATTCACGGAGACTTCGGCACTTTGGACGCTTGTCGTGGCACGTCCAAACTGTATACCTGCTTCGCTTAGCTGATTCCATCACGTCAGCTTTGCTTTTATTTGGCATGCCGAGCTCGTTTTATAGGAGGAAGACGCGTGTGCATGCTTGGTTCGGATATTCGGTATCAACAATAGTCATATTCGGACCGCGCAAAGATGTGGAGCAGACCAACGGACCCTGATATTCACATCCTAAAATACACTTGATCCTGCTCCGAGGCAAGACATCCATATCCTCCACTGTTCCGTCTCGTACGTCCATTCGTCGTCGCCAATGCAGTAAATGCGTATGAAATCAAGCCAAGCATAAAGGAATAGATCATTGCAATTTTGGAAGTCTTTGCTTCTCTTCCTCGTTCGGTTTCTTCGTCACCCTACAGAAAAGAGTTGGCTAGTCAGTACCGTTCGGTGCAGCAGAGAGAGTAGGAGTTGTGGCGCCTGAATTAGGCTTACTCTTCGTCTTCAACGTTAGCGGGAAGGTAAAGTCGTCAGCCTCTTCTTCTTCACTGTGCAGTTGTTAGCGTTGTCATCGCGCGTTACATCCTGATAATCACTTACGGGAGCTTCCACGCAATGTAGTCCTCGGTGCTCAGTCCCTCGCGGCCCTCCTGCAGCGAAGCAAAGTCACCGGGCGTCATCATGCCCGAACGATCGCGGGGAGACCCGGGCTCGGACAACGGCCGTGAGATTTTGACGTCTTGCGAGCTGAAGAAATCTGGCTCATCATCGTCTTCGTATGCCGCAGGGTATGCGCGTCGAAGAGCCAATTGTCGGGCCTTGACGTATTCCAAGCCCATGCGCTTCCAGTCGAGCAAGTCGCTAAGTCTCTCGGTCCGGTTACGCTGGTTGATACGCTGGCGCTTGCTCTTCTTGGTGAACTCGAACATGTAGTCGACAAGCTGGTTGACTGAGTCGTCCACGCCCTTCATCCTTCGGTCTACGATGTAAATACCATAGTCCTGGGCATTTTCAATCAGTTCCTCCATATAACAACCGAAGCCAGACAGGTTGGTTGTGATGCTAGGAACACCCATTACGGTGCACTCAGCCGGAGTGTAACCCCAGGGTTCGTAGTAGGATGAGAAGACACCAAGGTGAGTTCCACGAACAAAATCATCGTAGTCTAATGGCAAGACAGGGTTCGCTGAGTTCAAGAACTCGGGATGGAACACAACCTTGACGCGATCCGATGGGTGGTTGAAGAGCTGGCAGCGACGGAGCTGGTTCAGGACGGGGTCTTCGGCATCGTTGACCATGTTGTGAGTAACGATGGGCGGAAGGTTGTGACGCTTCATGGCAAACAACCGTCGGCGGAGCAAGATCTTATCAGCGGGCGTGATCAAGTCCTTGTCCTCGGGGAGCTCAGAGCCCTCCGTCCAGGTCAACGAACGCTCGAACAACTTCTTAGCAACATTCTCGGCGATGTTGTTTACACTGTCATGAAGCGCCTTGATGACGGCTTGTCCCTTTAGTGAGTCGACCGAGAGCGACGTCGTCTGCGCGGGAAGAATGATGAAAGCGACGACTGTCATGTTCGAGTTCTCGTTCTTCATCTTGTGGTTCAGCCGGGCTAACGACTCAATGAACATGTCTACACCCTTATTGCGGTACTCATAGCGACCGGCAGTGAAGAAGTAGAGGGTGTTCTCAGGATCGAAGTCGTTGTGGCCGTAGAAATGTCCGCGCACGAAGTCATTGATCTTGACCTTGGCTTGCTGATGCAAGTTTTGGAACTCGTGAGTAGCCGAAAACTTCTTGACGTTCAGACCGTTGGGCAAGACACCGTCCGGCTTTCGCTTCAGAAGATGCTCGCTCTCGTATGCGGTGATGTGGGAAACCGTGGTGAAGACATCAGCTGCATGTGTAGCGGCGCGCTCGATGCAGTAGCGGTGGTAAATACCGCGCTTTCCCGCCTCAGCGTCCACGTCGAAATATTGGAGGTTGTTGTAGAAATCGACCGAGCCGGCGCAGAGGTAGCGACCGAGGAGCGTAGCGTGGGTAGTGAAGATGGTGGTAACATCGATGCGGCGCTTCTTGCAGAGCGGGACTGCGACACCTGCCAGCCACTCGTGGAACTGAACAATGACGGCTCGCTTCTTCTCGTGGTAGACGTACTGGAGAGTAGTTAGCGCAGCTCGCAGCGACTGCACACATTCTCAACTTACCTCGCCCAGGAACCACGCAATGAGGTAACCAAAAACAATGGCCTCGTTGGTCTCGGAATCGCCAGGCGGCGAAGGAATGCCGGTGGAAGACCAGAGGTCGCCCTTCCACTCGTCAAGCCACCTGTAGCCGGTACCAGTGTCGAAGAGGAGCACACGTGGGGCACCGTCGATCAACCAACGTCCGTACAGCATCTTGATGCCACGGTCGTCCATAGACTTCATGGTCGCAATCAACGCCGGGTCTTTGGGCTCGATGGGCTCTACTTCGACCGCCGCCTGTTATCTCGTTAATTTCTGGTTTCAAGATGCCATGGGTTGCGCCTACCGAAGCTCTGTTCCATGGGCCCAAGAGGGTGTATGCGGCGCCATACTCAGCGGTGGTGACCTGGGCCTTGGACTTGAGGACTGAGTAGATACCGCCGACTGAGACTGGTTAGCATTGCAGACGGGCATCAAGTTGGGACGAAAGCTACCTCTGTTTGCGACTTCGGTCGCAACCTCGAACAGGACGTGGTTCTGCACGTCTCTCGCGCCGGTCTCAGCCATTGTGGGTGGGTGTTGTGAGGAGATAGTGGGAAGGCGCAATGGCAAGATCGGAGCTCTTTCTAGGGGAGAGAAAGCTTGGAAAGTCGAGGGAGTGTGAGAGCTTGAGCTCGGTGCTTGGTTGAGCTACTGCAGGTGGCCGCGCTAGACAAGCGGTTCGATTACTCCCGGTTGAGTACGAAGTGCTGGCGGCGGACACGGTGTGGTGGAGCTGCAGGAGCAATTGGACGTGTGGTAGCAGAGCAGCAGCAAGCAAACTCTGTCTAATAGTCGAGGAAAGATGTTTTGCAGGCGCCCTGGGGACAGAAATGCTGGGCCGCTATTGTTTGGCGCACGAGCGTTGGCTACCCGGTGGAGGTTGGGATTCCTCTTTGGGTATCGGATCAATCGTCGTAGGACCGCCGGCGTACTCTGCCGTGACGTAGGCGCTCGGCTTCTACTGCCCATTCACGTTTAAACTGCCATTTAGCCTGGCCGCCTTGACGCGCCCCGTCCCAGCTGCACCACGTCTCTCCGATGCTGTTCACACTCGCCGCGCTGCACTTGAAGCCAGAGTCGACCCCACGGGCAGCGCCCAATTCTGAGGCTGAAGCGCAACGGGCGAGGCCAAGGCCGCGAGTCAACAACTCAACAGTTTCCTTTGGAAATGAGAAGCGGAGCATCGACCGATCCCGCCGCCCGTTGAGCTGCTCGCTTATTCCTGTCTGCTTGTCTATGCCCGTCCGCTTTCAGACGCATCAAGAACATCAAAAGGGTCAGCTGGATGCAAGAGCTGCGCGCTGCGTTCGACTGCCGAGGCGCTGCACCAGGTCCGCTTGCTGCAGTATTCCGTCATACGGAGTGCAGTAAGGCCGACAATTGCGGGGTTCCCGCGAACGGTGGGAGAAGTCGACAGCACGCCAACTCTCTCCACAGCGCCATTAGTGGGTCGTGGGTGGAGGCGGAGAGGAGCACGTGAAGGGCCCACGACAGCCACTGCCGCGCCGTGTGACAGGTGTGCGATGCGCTGCGGAGAGTTCATCGGAAGAAAAGGTTTTTCTTGCGAGCCGTGTCGTATTGCATCTCGGACGATATTGTCTAGCAGCACTGTATCGCCGTTACCCGTATCGTGTTGGGGTTGCTAGGCAGGCACATGACTCGTATGCAGTCAGTGCCTGATACACCAAGGTCTAGACAACGGCACTCGGCTAGTGAGAGTCTCGAATACAACATGTCAGCAGTCTTGAACAGCGAACGACCCTACGAGATGGCTGGAGAGCAA